TTACACCAAGCTAGTGGAAAGATACAGATCGTTTAAAAACTAGACAAAACATGGAGACAATCCTTTTGTGGCTTGGAAGTGCTGTTTAGAGTAACAGCTTCACCATCAAGAAGAGGTATTTCCTGTAACCCATTGCTTTGTTTTTTGTGCTGTTCACTTCATCACTATATGGGTCTTTTGTGGCTGTAAATAAATTTTAGAGTACGTTTATTACCCTCACAAAAATCCTGCTGTATTTTCATTGTCCTTATATTAAATTCACACTGCTTAGGTTTAATATGTTTGGGAGTGATGTGTTTCACAGAATAGCTAAGCTGAATTTAAGACTACCTTGGCCATCAAAACAGCACGGTAGTGGAAAGTGATAGGTGGGTCAGTGGAAGAGAATAGAAAGTCTTAGACACCTTCACTGTCACTACCTGCCACACAAAAATAGGGCATGTTTCATTGCGATGGGGGCCTAAGTAGTTCCTTAGAGGGCAGTGTTCCAATAATAAAGTTGGAATAAATTGTCATCCATGGATAAAATGAACTTAGACCTAACCCCAATCTTGTATGCAGCTATTTTGTTAAAAATAGGTCAGAACTCTAAATGTAAAGCCAAGAAACTCCTAGGAGGAAACATTGCAGAAATCTTTTGCGAATTAAGGTTACACAGTGGATTTCAAAATATAAAACCAGTCCATTGAATAAGATTTGTTAAATGTCATCACATTTCTAAAAGCTAGCCCTTGATAATTAAGAACTTCTGATCTGCATAAGATATTAATAACAAAATGAAAAGGCAAGATATGCAATTGGAATGAATATTTTCATATTATATGTTTAACAAGGCTCTTAGAGTCAAAATATATAATAAGCTCTCATAAGCCAAGAGTAGGAGACCAAGAGCTTTTTATTAAAACAAATGGACAAAACTCTTGAACAGAAAGTTCCCCAAACTAGCAAATTAATGGCCCAAACCATTTTCAATATCACACATCATTAGGAAAATTAAAATATTAAGCCTTTCTAATTAGTACAAAGAACTAAAATAAAAATCCTAACAATGTCAATAGGATGTGAAACTCTCAAATTGTTAGTCGTGAATAAACAAGGAATTCATCCAATCACCCAGGAAAGATTCCATATAAAGTAAGTATTCGCCTGCCTCATGACACACATTGTTGGCCATTTACCTCAGAGAATGGAAAATACTTCCATGCATATTTATAATAGTTTTAGTGGAAAGAACTTAAGACTATAAAGGCCTCATCTGCCCTGCAAGGTGAATAAATCACTTTGTGGTGTGCATGCTCTATGGTGTAATGCTCTCTGAAATCAAGAGGTAATCCTCTGCTGATATGGGCAACAACTGGGCTGAATCTCAGAGCGCAGCTTGTAGGGAGTCAACTTGGGGAGATTACCATGTGGTTCCATTTAAGGAATTTTTGAAGGCAGAGTTGCATTGACAGAGCATATATCCTTCATTCATAGAAGATGTAATTTTCTCCTGAAACTATTCTAATGGTCCCCAGTATCCTCTTCTTGATGCCACGGGGAATTCAGCTGCACAGGTGACATTAATGCTTTCCCACATGCAACAAGCTCTTCAGAGGCCTCCTTCTAACCCCTGCCACCACTTTATTGCACTTTAAAATTTTTAATAGACACGAAGATTCTAAACCCCTCCTTTACGTGAGCATTTAATTCTTCTCATAGTTTCTTCTCAAAACAAATAGACTTCCCCACCAGGGAGTGCAAATCTCTTTTAAGGACTTAGATTGTAAACAGTGATTGCCGGGAAGTTCTGTTGCAAGGCAGATTCTTGGGAATCAGGTTAATCTGATATATTTATTGGTCTTAATCATTTAAATATCATAAAAATTGTTAGGTTTTATTATAGCACGTTCAAACAAAATTGGCTTTAATGCCCCCACAATGAGTCCTCTCCAGATGGAACAGGGGCTTCTTTGAGATCCCTGTAGACCTGGGAATGTGAACATGTAGGTCGTCTGTGTGTGCCATGTCTCCCCGACTTTTACTTGTATGAAATCCCTAATGCCTCCTGTGGTCCTTTCTAATGCCACAGACTATTTTGTTATACTCTACTCCTTGAGTGCTTTGCCTTCTACTGCTCCGGCTGAGGTCATGTCCAAGTGTACCACTCACATCCCCCTTGTGCTGTTGCCTTTGTCTTTCTCCAGATTTCTCTTGGCAGGTGAGTTGCTCCCAGACCCAAGGCCGCTGATTTTTTGCTTAGAAGTTGCTGCCATCTGTCTCCATTTTCATGGATTTTCTTTAAAATTGTCACATATTACATATATTTTAATCAGAGTCTTTCCTCTCCCCAGCCCTTCCCATATTCTTCCCACTCCATACTGACTCAACTTCACGTTCTTTCTATCTAAACCAGTGGTTCTCAATGTTCCTGATGCTGCTACCCTTTAATCCCTCATGTTGTGGTGACCCCCGACTATGAAATTATTTTCCTTTCTACTTCGTAAGTGTGATTTTGCTACTGTTAGGAATGGAAAGGAAAATCTCTGTGTTTTCTGATGATCTTCGGTGACTGCTGTGAGAGTCATCTGGGGTTAGGACCCACAGATTGCTTTAAACCAAATGCAAAGAAAGCTTTTTCTCTCTTTCTCTCTCTCTCTTACACCCACACACCCACACATGAAAAAACAACAACAGCAAAAAACAAAAGCAAATCCATGGAGTCTGTTTTATGTTGGCAACTGCTCCTTAACATGCAGCCTGCTGTGGGGTGTGGTTGATATACTTAGCGTCACTTATTTTGAGAAAACTGTTTTACCCTCTCCCAAATAGCTTCTTAGGTAGGGATTGGACTTCCCCTTGTTTGTGCTGGGACTTGGTGACTTTCACTGTGCATGTCTTGTGTAGTATGTCACAGTCTCTGTAAGTTCATATGTGCATCAAGTAAGGTAACACAGACTCTAAAAGACCTGATAAGTAGGGTCAGATAGAAGGGGAGGAGGTCCTCCCCTCTCAGGAGACTAGGGAAAGGGCATAGGGGGAGAAGAGGGAGGGGAGCTGGAAGGGAGACAAGGGAGGAGGCTGCAAAGGGAATACAAAGTGAATAAATTGTAAAAAAAAAATAGATTAAATTAAAAAAATAATCATTGCATATTTTCCCTTATATGTAGATATTAGCTTTTAATCTTTAGATGTGTGTGTGTGTGTGTGTGTGTGTGTTGCTGCAATGTATCAGAACTTCCTGTTACTTGAGACTGTTTCTTTATCCTGTGCCTCTTTTTTTATTCTGTTGATCAGAATAAACATTTTTAAATGTTAAGAATTGTAGCTGGTTGTGATTCCTATGGAATTTTCATTATATTATTCTTCTCAGAGGTTTTACTTGTGTTGTGTTGTTTCTATGATGAATTTCTGGAGGCTGTGACTTGTACCTAATAGCACCTGTCACATTGAATGTCCTCCATACATTTATTGGAAGCGTTGGATTTTTCTTTCTACATAATCGCATTCCCACTGCAGATTTGAGAAAACTGGGATATAACCAGATGACATAACACTGGTCCAACAGCAAGGTAGCCTGTAGCAAAGTGGAATTTAAACTCAAAGAGTCTGTCTCCAGAGCTCAAGGACTCAATCTGTAGTGCTGGAGAGACTAAGTGCATACTGGGAGAATCTCTTGCCTGTGGTGATGGACAGTAGGGATGGACTGCGTAGATCCACATTCTAATCTTCAGCAGGCTAAAAGCCATGTGAACCCTGATTTATAGGGATTTTGACTGTTCTTTTCACTACTAGTATACCTTCTCTTAAAATGAGATGATGAGAGACAGAAGAGCACTGATCTTTGCTTTCAGAAAGTGCTTCCCTAACCCTAGGCTCTCAGCCTTGTTCCTCAGCCAGATGTGGCACTGTTAGTGCTGCCTAGGTCACAGTGCCATGATAACACTCATTCACATCAAATGGACATTACTGAAGCGTTTGACCCATGCTAAATAGGCTCATTTCTCTGAATTTGATGTTTATTGGCTCTCTGATTAATCTAACCTGTTACATCTCAAGTCACCTTGGCATTTTCAGCGTGACTACACGTCTCTACAGGCACCCTCACCCACACTCCCAACTGCATGTGCGACACATGTCCTAGGCATTTCATCAGGATGAGTCTCTGTGGCTTGTTCCATTACGGGTATGTTGTCAGTTCTTCTGGATATGCACTGGACTTTCATTTTGACAATGGTGTTCCTTTACCTTCATTTTAATGTTATATTGCAGCAATTAAATGCAATCCAAGCCCAAATAAGCACATTTTGTCATTCAAAGCATAGATAAAGATGGGAGTGGGGGGGGGGGATGGCTCCATCAGCAGACCACTAGCTGTACAAGCATGAGGAACTGACTTCAGGAGGATGCCTGGACATCATTAGCAGGCTGATGCATCAGTGAGTTCCAGGTTCAGGGAGAGACACTGTCTTAAATAAACTAGGCACACAGAGTTGCTGAGGAAAACGTCTGACATCAACCTCTGGCTTCTCTACACATGTTCAAACATGTGAAGCACACACACATACACACACGTTTGCTTTAGGTACTCTTTTATCATCTTTGATGTCACATCAAATACCTATTACCTTTCTGAGTACAGGAAATACTCGGTGATCCTCCAATTAGAGAAGGATACATAGTTCCCACTTGCTTATGGTGAAGAAATGCTGTAGTAACTGCTCTAGCAAATAAATATCTTAGCTTTGATGTCCCTAGAGAGGAATAAGTAGTCTTTTAATGAAGCTTAGGCTCAACCTGATAATCCCATCCTTTAGTTTTCTATTACCACCGATAACTCTTAAATATGTTTCTTTAAAAAAATCACCTTTTGCGATATTAATGTTTCACTTCTCATTAAAGAACAGAGAGCCAGTTTTCCCAGTCAGTTTCTGTTGTGTATGCCCTTTCACAGTGAGAAGGCTCATGTCCTCTCCTTATGGTCTGTTTTGCAGAAGTCACCCACCCTTTCCCGGTAGAGACACACTCTGATGAGGAGTGGACTTCTTGATTCTTCATCCAGTTATGGATCTGGATAAACCATCCGTCTGGGGGTCATTAAAACAGCGGACCAGACCCTTGCTGATCAACCTGAGCAAGAAGAAGTCTAAAAAGACACCAAGTAAACCCTTGGATTTAAGGGTGCAACATCAACTGGACCGGCGCCTCAGCCTCTCGGTGCCTGACCTCCTGGAGGCAGAGGCCTTGGTTCCCGAGGGTCGACCTTACTCAGGGCCACAGTCGTCCTACACCTCGGTACCCAACAGCCTGTCTACTGCAGGCATCGTTCCCAAGAGCAGCAGCAGCTCCCTGAAGCAGTCTGAGGAAGAACTGGACTGGAGCCAGGAGGAAGCAAGCCACGTCCCCTGGGCAGACACCGACTCTGAAGAGATCTATGCTTCTCCTGCAGAGGAGTGGCTGGCAGCCAGCCAGAATGGCCTGGAAATGCACAAACCGCCTCTTGGAGCAGATGCTACTGCAGAGCCAGAGGTAAGGCCGAGGCACTTCCCAGCTTTTTGATTTTTTTTTTTTTTATGTTTTTAAGGTACATTCATTGTCCTTGGGAAAATTGGGTAGGAACTGTGGTTATCCTTACGAGAATTTAAATTAATGTACTATTGATTGCACTGGTGTTCCCGTTTGTTTTAGGGCTGACCTCTATGTATTTAAAAGCTAGCAGAGAAGAACCTTCTAGGACTGTTTGAGGCTTCAGAAGCTCTAGTGGACAAGGTTTCTTTGTTTCATCTCCTGGCAAAAAAGACCTGAGCATGTAACTTTAACCTTTTGTCACCCCGCCCCCTCCTATTTCTTCCTCTTCCTTCTCTTTTTCCTTTTCTTCTGACCTTCATTAGGTTACCTTTTTCACACTGAGGAAAAGATTGTATATAAATGAAAGCAATCTTGCCTTCTCGATACTGTTACTAGCTCATTCAGACTTACAGACAATGGAAACACAGTGTGTTTTTTTCTAGACCTTGTAGAACAGTGGTTCTCGACCTGTGGGTCATGACCTCTTTGGAGGCCAAATGACCTTTTTACGCAGACCTCACATCAGGCATCATGCATTATTAATTTATCTTTACATTACAATTAATAATAGTAGCAAAATTACAGTCATGAAGTAGCAACAAAAATAATTTTATGGTTATGGGGGTCACCACAATATGAGGAGCTGTATTAAAGGGTCGCAATTATATTAAAGGGTCATAGCATTAGCAAGGCTGAGAACCACTGTTGTAGATAACGTACGCAAATTGCCTTTTAGATGGTGTGGATGTTTGTCTTTGACCACCAGAGCCCAAAGGGTACTCTTTCTTCCTGTTGTATAGGTCTATGTAAACTTATGGGACAGTATGTATACTAGGTTTTGAGAATTTCCCTTAATTTTCTGAAAAAAAAGAAAAAAGATGTTAGAAATCAGTAATCAAACTTTTATTGCTCGAGCATTGTTTTATATATATAGAAAAACATTTAATGGGGGGGGTTACAGTGTCATAAGTTTAGTCCAGTATTATCATGGTGGAAAGCATGGCAGCATGCAAAACAGATACGGTGCTAGAGAAGGAGCTGAGAGTCCCACATCTTGATCCCAAGGTAATAAGAGGAAGACTATCTTCCACACTAGCCAGAGCTTGAGCATAAAATATCTCAGAGCCCACCCCCACAGTGACACAGTTCCTCTAATAAGGCCACACCTAATAGTGCCACTCCCCATGAGCCAAGCATTCTCAAACACGAGTCTATGGGGGGGCCCACACATTCAACCTACTACAAACTCCCTCACCCCCATAATCTTGTACCCATAACATAATGCAAATTGTATCTAGTCCAACTTCAAACATCCCCATAGTCTATCAGTCTCAATGTTTATAGGTCCAAAGTTGAAAGTCTCTTCTGAGAGTCATGCAATCTCTTAACTCTAATCCCTTATAAATCAAAATTAAAAATTAGATCACATACTTCCATATTATAATGGCATAGGATATATATTACCATCCCAAATACAAGGAAGAGAACACAGTGAGAAAATCCTAGACCAAAACAAGACTGAAAACCAGCTGGACAAACTTGTACTCCATGTAAAAGCTCTCTTCAGATCTCCAACTTCTTTCATCTTTGTTGACTGCAACACAGGTCTTTCTTTTGGGCTAATTCCATTCCCAGTTAGTAGCTTTCCTTGACAGGTATCACAAGACTCTGGCATCTCCAATATCTTGGGGTCTCCAAGGCAACTTCAACTTCACAGTTTCATGCAATGGCCTCTCTGGGCCTCCATGCAGGGACACCCCTGCCAAACATCTGGCCTCAGCCACTTTTCTTTTAGAAATTCCAGAACTCCTTCATCTATTCTTCAGTCTAAAGTCAGAGTCAATTGGCCGAAGCTGACAAATTCTGCTGCTTTCTGGGGCTGGAACACGGCACCCTTCCTCAACTATATCTTCACCAAAAACTTTCTGTTTTACACGGTTTTCTTCGCTGCTTGGGCTTGTCAGTCCTGGAGCTTGTCTTGGAGACCAGGCTGACTTTGAACTCAGAGGTCTGTATGCCTCTGTCTCTTGAGCTCTGGGATTAAACGTATGTACTACCACACCTGAACCTATGCTTTTCTTTAATTCCTTTAGACAAGATGGAAGCTTCTGTGGGTGGGATCTTGCCCGGAGGTCACCACTCTTTTAATTCCATTTAGTAGATTTCATCTGATTATTCCCTTAAACACATGATTTAGCTTCTTGGTGTCCCTTTAGTCCTTGAACCATACATTTTCCATTTTTTTTTTTTTCTGTCTCAGCTTGCTCCATTTTACCAAAATGCCCTGCATAAAAATGAACCACAGGACAGAGTCTATGCTATACTGTTTTGAGATTTCCTTTGGCAATGCAATTAATCCCAATTTCTTCACTTTAGCTTCAGACGGCCTCTTCTGACAAGCACAAAAAACAGCACATTTTTTCACCAAAATGTCATAAGAACTATCTCTACAAAACATAGAAAAAATTTTCTCCAATGAAACCTCTAGCCAGGTCCCCACAGTTCAAACCACTCTCAGCACCACTGTCTTCCATGCTTTTACCAGTATGGATGATTAAAAAGCTCTTAAAGCATTCCACTGCTTTCTTAATCCAAAGTCTCCAGATCTATATTCTTCCAAACAAAGGCATGACTAGGCTTATCACTGAAATACACCACTTCCTCTTACTGACTTTGTCTTAGTCTGGGTTTCATTACTGTGAAGGAACACAATGATCATGGCAAGTCTTATAAAGGAAGAGATTTAATTGGGGGCTGACTTACAGTTTCAGAGGTTTAGTCCATTATCACCATGGAGGGAAGCTTGGCAGTGTCCAGGCAGACATGCTGCTGGAGAAGGAGCTGAGAGTTCTACATCTCGATCAATGGGCAGCAAGGAGGAGACTGTTCTCTTTGTTGGTTTTGTCAAAACTTCATTGTTTCAGGAAGGCTAACTGGCCTGTGTAATTATTGGAAGAAGAGATTAAATTTTTCCACCAAATTTCTAACTCTTACTCCTGATTTCGATGATCACTTTAAATCAGTTCACTTGGATATTTTTGTTTGTTTAAATTACTCTTAATGAAACACTTGAAGAAATGCTCAATGTCCTTTGTCATCAGGGAGATGCAAATCAAAACGACCCTGAGATTTCACCTTACCCCCATCAGAATGGCTAAGATAAAAAAATGCAAGTGACAACACATTCTGGAGAGGCTGTGGAGAAAGGGGAACCCTCCTCCATTGCTGGTGGGAATGTAAACTTGTACGAACACTCCGGAAATCAATCCGATGCTTTCTCAGATAATTAGGAATAGTGCTTCCTCAAGATCCAGCTATACCACTCTTAGGCATATATCCAAAATATGCTCAAGTACACAACAAAGACATTTGTTCAACCATGTTTGGAGTAGCTTTATTCGTAATAGCCAGAACCTGGAAACAACTCAGTTTATCCCTCAGTTGAGGAATGGATACAGAAATTGTCGTACATTTACACACTTAAAAACAAGGAAATCATGAAATTTGCAGGCAAATGGTGGGATCTAGAAAAGATCATCCTGAGTGAGGTATCTCAGAAGCAGAAAACCACACACAGTATGTACTCACTTATAAGTGGATATTAGACCTATAATATAGAATAAACATACTAAAATCTGTGCACCTAAAAAAGTTAAGCAAGAAGGAGGACCCTGGGTAAGATGATCAATCCTCGCTCAGAAAGACAAATGGGATGGACATTGGAAGAAGGAGATAACAGGAAACAGGACAGGAGTCTACCACAGAGAGCCTCTGAAAGACTCTACTGAGCAGTGTATCAAAGCAAATGCTGGGACTCTTAAGAAAACTTTGGGCAAAGTGCAGGGAATCTTATGAAAGAGGTGAGATATAGTGAGACCTGGAGAGGACAGGAGCTCCACAAGGAGAGCAACGGAACCAAAATATCTGGGCATAGGAGTCTTTTCTGAGACTGATATTCCAATCAAGCACCATTCCTGCATATAACCTAGAACCCTACTCAGATTTAGCCCATTGGCTGCTCAGTATCTAAGTGGGTTTCCTCATAGGGGAACAGGGACTGTCTCTGACATGAACTCAGTGGCCTGCTCTTTGACTACCCCTCCCTGAGTGGGGAGCAGTCTTTCCAGGCCACAGAGGAAGACAATGCAGCTAGTCCTGATGAGACCTGATAGGCTAGGGTCAGATCGAAAGAGAGGAGGACCTCCCCTATCAGTGAAGTTGGAGAGGGGAAATGGGAGGAAATGAGGGAGCGAGGGTGGGATTGGGAGGAAATGAGGGAGAGGGATACAGCTGGGATACAAAGTGAAAAAACTGTAATTAATATAAAAAATAAAAATTTAATTAAAAAATAAATTACTCTTAGATACTGAAGTAGGTTCCAATGTTGAAGTAAAGGGATTATTTTTATGTATTACAAATTAATCATACAGTTGTATAAAAATTGATTCTTCAGCCTAAGCATTTGTGTTTACTTTTAGATGAAAATCTGTCGATCATGCAATGTGTCTAGTAGATGTCTGTGGATAAAGGACACTAGGAATGGGGGAATACTCTGACCATGTTCTTTTGGACATTACTACTCATTAATGGGCTTGGATATTTTTATTTTGACTTTAACACTTATGATGCATTGTTTTCATGATATTTAATATTTTTAAATTTGAAATAGGTTTCTGTTTTACAAAAGGTAAATGAGGTAGATTGACTAAGCTTGGTCCATATGTGAAAGTAAACCTGTTGATGATATCTTGACACTCATCCTTATTATCTTTGCATCTCTCTGCATCTGAGTAGATTTCTTGGCTTGGATATGCTAATAACTCCAAATTAGAAAGACATTCAAGCTATGGGTACGTAACTACTGTTTCAGCCTTCCAATAGTCTTTGTTGAATAAATATAAATATTTGAGTGCTGTGTAGACCAAGCATTGTGAAGGATGTTATTGGAAACTGAAGATCTA